CTCAGTCCCACTCCAGGCACCACCCCAGCTGGGGCGAGGACCTTAACCTCTTAGGGAATCATTTCAAGTCTACACTACCCTCTCCGCTCACACCTGGCCAAGCTCAATGGGACTGAAGGGAATGCCAAAATCACCTTGACTGAGGCCCCTACTAACTGATGCAACCTCAGCTCGACTGCTCCCTAATCAATCCTCTGCACCACTCCATCCTGCAAGGCTTCAGAAGCGTCCCACAGCCCCTTCACTCCGACCCTGGCCCTCTCAGCAAGGACGGACTTTGTGCTTCCCTAAAAATGGTGGCCATTCACCGAGAGCACCCTCCTCCTCTCCCATGGCCCTGATGTCACGTTTCCTCGACCACATTTCCTCCCTGATCATCTGTCTGTCTGCAGTCTCTCCTGCATCACTGGTTCCTTCTCTATACCTACAAACACAATCAAGTCTCACACAGCCTGAAGTGCCCTCGCTAGATCCCGTCACCCCACAAGCTAGCTTCCACCCCTTCTTGGCAAGGCTGAAAAAGTCGTCTATGCCGGGGCCCTCCTTCCTAAACCCTCTGTGCCCTCCTGGGTTCCACCTCATTGTTCAGACGAAACCGCTCTCCCCAGAGTTCCCAGGGATTGTTCATTCGACAACCTTCTCAGTCCTCATCCTCCCTGACCTCTCTGCAGCCTCTGAGCCCTGTCCATCACCCTCCCTTCTTCAAGGAAGGAAGTAGAAATCCTCCCTCCTCTTTGGGTTGTCAGGACACCGGCTCTCCTGGCTCTCCTCCACATCACATCCTCTGACTGTCGGTGTCCCCGTCTGTGCTGGGCCCTCTTCCCTTCTCCCTCTGTGCTACTGCACTGGGTGATGGCGTCAGCTCCCATGGATTCAGTGACCATCTCTACAAAGACGGGCTACAGAGGAAGAATCCAGCTCAAGTCTCCCTCTCAGGCTCCACTCCCACAACACCGAGTGCCTGCTGGCGCCTCAGCTCCACCGCATCCAAAGCAGAACTTCGTATCTCACCCCAAATGCCGCCCTCCTCCAAACCAACAGGCCCAGCCTCTGACCCTGGCATTGCGCCTCGGAGAGTTTGTGACGCGTGCCTCGGGACAGAGAAGATGCGAGCTCCTTAAACCCACCCCCCTCCAGCCCCCCAGCTGTATTTTCAGGAGAAGCGATGAACGACCCCAGGGGCCTATCTCTGCCCCAAAACTTCACTGACTTCCTCCAGCAGGGTTGAAGGGACTCGCCTGGGCTCTTGGGAGAGCAGTTTTGGGGCCATGGGGCAGGACATCTCACCCCGCCATGACAGATAAAGGCTCATAGAACAGTCCTGGAGGATCAATCAGCCAGCTCCTGTCATTGCCAGCACTTAGCGGGGCAGGAGAGGGAGGGTTCTAGGTTCCTAACAGAGACCCCTCTAGAATTAGACCTCAGAAAACGTCACCTCCTGAAACGGAAGCTATCAGAAAGAGATGCTGCTGAGCACCTGTAGGAAGCTACCATCCTAAAGCCGACGTCCAGGACAGCTCCCAAATGTCATGGAGGAGACAAGGGACCTGTGATGTGAAGTCTAAGGGTGGGGCCACCAGATGGCGCTGCAGGGGACAGAGAGCCTGCCCTGGAATCAGAGAGACTCAAGATCAAGTCTGGCCTCAGACACTTCCTAGCTGTGTGACCCTGGGCAAGTCACTTCACCCTGTTTGCCTCAGTTTCCTCACCTGTAAAATGAGCTGGAGAAGGAAATGGCAAACCCCTCCAGTACCTCTGCCAAGAAAACCCCAGATGGGGTCACAGAGAGTCGGACAGGACCGAACCATGACGATGTCTCATGAAACGTGGTCACAACCTGAGGTTGGGGCTCTGTGTGGTGTCTTCAGGATATGAGCCCCAGACTTGGAACACGCCCCATCCTGGCAGGGGCACCAGGGCACGAGGTAGGCACGACCAAGAGGCTGGAGGAGAACGAGGCCCGGAGGCCTCGCCTGCCCAGAGAAAGGAGTCTGCACGTGGGAGCCTGGGGGTGCCGCTGTCTGCTACAGACAGCTCCCACTGTGGATCCGTCAAGCCGGCAGAAGCTGGCTCATCACCCCGTCTGCTAAGTTTGTAGAGTGGGGTTCACTCCCCAGAGCCTGCTGGGGTCTCCTCACTGGACTAAGCGCAGGGCCACCCTCCAGCCCCAGGCCAAGGTGAGGAACGGTCCACGGGGCTCTGTCTAGAAGACCCACAGGGCTGCCCTAACGGGGCACTACATTCAGACCTTTCAACAACGTACCTGGGAAATAAAGCATCTACCAAAAACTCAGGACCCGTGGAGAAAGAAGCATAACTTTCCGTGTCCAAACTCACACCCACCTGAGGCCGAAGCTGGGCATGCTCTGGCCACAGGTGTGGGACCCGCAGACCCATCCAAAGCACGCATGCCTACCTGAGCCTTCCACAGCAAACCCCATGAGCACTGAATAGAGCCAGAAATCCCGGAAAAGCTTCTGAAGTCTCGGTTTGGCCTTCTTGATGGGGAGCAAGCGTCGTGTGAGCTAACGGGACAAGGACAGAGAGAAACAGAAAAAGGAGGTTCAGAAAACCCAACTACAACATGGTCCTGCCGCCCAAACCTTGGAGAAGGACAGCCAGGGGAACATGGGCACCACACCTGCCCAACTCAGACGGCTGCCTCTAGTCACAGAGGTGCCTGGGTCACGAGAGGCACAGGGGCTTCCTTGCCCAGCATCCCCCAGCTGGGAGGGGTCGGAGGTCACTCCTGACCCTCTCCCAGACACAGAGCCCTCTCACTCTGTCTTGATGTCTCTTGGGGAAGTGATCGTTAACAGCTGGCTCAGACGTCTACAGCACCTGACACAGAGGTCCAGAAACTTCACAAAGCATCAAGCCTAGGAAACTGAGGTTCAGTAGTTGGCCCAAGCCTCCACATGTGACAGGTGGCAGAGGTGCCTCTAAAGCCCATTTTCTTTCCACTGCTCCATGCAGTGTCTAATAAATACTTGTTACACTAGATAGAAGAGAAGTCCGATGGGGGAACAGCATCAGCGGGGCCTCCTGGCTGTGCATTATCATCTGGTGATCTGCCAGAGAGACCAGACCGGGGCAAAGCGGCCTCCTTCCGTGGTCACTTATCCCCCTAAGATAAACTCCCTGTTGCACATTTGCAGCAGGCCTGGACAATACAGAAGAAGGCCTTGCCACGGGAATCTCAGACCAGAGAGGGTTCTAGAGAGGCCAACCCCAGAATGACACAGCTCGGGGGGGGGAGGGGAGCTTCAAGAACACCCGGCCCAACTGTCAGGTAATGAGGACGGCCAGAGAGGAAGCAGGCACCGCCACGGTCCTAGGGACGGAGTCTCCTTTAGATGTGCACTGGCCGTGCCCCGAGCCCATCCCCCAAAGCAGCTCCCTGGGCGGCCGATGGGCCCGCAACTGTCTGAGCTCTGGCACGCCTTGGTGAACCTGGGTAAACCACTTTCCTCGGTGGGCCTGAGCCCCACTGACCTTCGAGGTCCTCTCTGGCTCTAACTGCGGAGGGCCCTCTGCTCTGATTCCATGAGGCACGTGCCTTTGAGGGGGTGTTTCCAGCAACAGGCCCACTGTGACCCTACAATTTCAAGCATGCCTCAAGGGGCCAGCAGGATCTCTTCCCCAAAGCATCATTCTGTTCGATAAACGTGGACTGAGCACCTTGGATGTACAGGGCCTGGTGTCGGTGCCGTGAGTGAAAAGGGGAGGCGGGCTGGGCTCAGATCTGGGTATGAGGCTTGGTTCTGATACTGCTTAGCTCTGGGACTGTGGGCAAGTCCTTTAACCTAGCTAGACCTCAGCTGTTTCACCTGTAAAACGGAGATGCTAATCTCTGAAAAATCACCTCCTTCTCTTTCAGAAGCATTATGAGGACACAATCAATCCATAAGCATTATTAAATACTAGGCCCTGTGGTGAGTGCAAAAAAATGTTTTTTTGGGGGGTTTTTTTGGTGGTTTTTTTTAGGCAATTGGGGTTAAGTGACTTGCCCAGGGTCATACAGCTAGTAAGTGTCAAGTGTTTGGTCCAAGGTCATATTTGAACTCAGGTCCTCCTGACTTCAGGGCCAGTGCTCTATCCACTGTGCCACCGAGCTGCCCCCATGAGTGCAAAAAATGAACAGCTCCTACCCACAAGGCACTTACTATCCACTGGGGAAAATAATACATGCAAATATATGTAGATACAAAGTCATATTCAGTCCTTTTTTCAGTCATATCCGACTCTCCATGACCCTATTTGGGGTTTTCTTGCCAAAGATACTGGAGTTGTTTGCCATTTCCTTCTCCAGCTCATTTTACAGATGAGGAAACTGAGGCAAACAGGGTGAAGTGACTTGCCCAGGGTCACTCAGCTAGAAAGCATCAGAAGGTAGATTTGAACTCATTTAGACGAGTCTTCCGGACTCCAGGCCCAGAGCTCTGTGCCCTGTGGTGCCCCCTAGTTGCCTAAGACACATGGTCATTGGTAGATGGATGGCCTCCCTAAGAGGCAGCATTGAAGCCTAGCTCTGAAGGAGGGCAGGGATGCCAGATGGAGGTGAGGAGGGAGGTCATTCCAGGCAGGGGGCACAGCCTAGGCAAAGGCCTGGAGACACAAGGAATCGTTTCTAAAAGGCCAGCTGGCTGGAGCCAACCTGGGAAAGGCTATAAACGTAAACAGGGGAAGGCTCTGAATGTCGACTGTTACCATGCTAAGACCCAGGGGGTGAGAGGGGACAATGGAGGGTTCTGGACCACAGCCTACAACCCCTCCATTAGGGAAGAGACACCTCAAGAGCAGTGACTCAGAGTGGGGAGCAGATCCCAGGTTCCCTGGCTCTGGAATAGGCCTCCGAGCACGAGCTTCCCAGCAGGCTGAGGGCAGCCAGGCAAGCATCCAGAACCCAGGGCCTTCCAAACATTCCATGCAGGCAGCCCCAGGGCAAACACAGGGGGAGGGTGGTTTCTGCTGACAAAGGCACTCAGGGGTGTTTGATCTGGACCCTATCTGCCTTGGCAAACACGCACCAGCCCGGCCCCAGAGTTCACATTTGGACTGGTCGCCAGAGGCTGCAGATCTCGTCAGCTCAGGAGCACCGAGGTAAGCCTGGCTCCCCGTCCCTGCGCTCCCACGCAGGCTTGTCTTCTTCGGGCCTGGGCAGGTACTGTGCACCTACTATGTGCCTGGCAGGGCCTGGGGTCAAAGCGTGGCCGATGGAAGAAGCGTTGAACGCTCACTGTCATCGGGCCGCCTCCCATCCAGGCCCCTCCTTCCTCTCATGAGGGCAGGACGCCGGGAGGCCACAAAAGGACGCCAGGGCCTGGGCTCACCAAGGCCGGGTTCCCGTGCAGCCTCTTCCGCCCCCTCACCGGGTGCCTTGGGGAAAGTCTCTTTTCCCTTTCTGGCAAACACAGGGCTTGGACTGGGTGTCGTCCTCTTCCCCAACTTGCCGGGCATCCCTTCCTTGGGCCTCAGTTTCCCTGTCTTTCTGGAAGGTGATGTTGCAGGATGGGACACGGGGGGGTGGGGAGAGGCAGCACAGAACTCCAACAGGAGAGCTGGAAGGGCCTCAGCAGCCATCCAGTCTGATGTTAACAGGTCATCTAGTCTCGGTAGAAGGAATTCTGGGGGCTTATGCCAGACAATGGACCTGACAGTCTTGGGGAAAGGAACTGGTTTTGTCTGGCTTAGGCCCTGAGGAAAGCACTACGAGAAAAGGGGATATTACAAAGAAGCCAGTGGAGTCTGGACAGCTTCTGAACAAGAGCTCCCCAAAGCCGGAGGAACTGAGGCCTCTGAGGCCCCTTCCCCTGCTGAGATTCTGTCAAGGCTGGACCTTCATGATGGTCTAGCGAAGTGTAGTCACAGACAGGGGCCAAACATTCAAGACCTTGGACAAGTCACTGCCCTGATTTGGGTCTGGGGGGTTTTCATCTGCAAAAGAAACCAGGCAGACAGACTGCTAAGGGCCTTCCCAGCCCTGAGGTCACTTTGGAGATGAGGAAACAGCTCAGGGAAGGGAAAGGCAGGGACTTGTCCACAGGCCTCTGTCAGGTGAATGGCAGACCTGGGCTCTGAACCCAGGCCTCCAGAATCCAAGCAGACCTCCCTGCACCCAAGCACACACTTAGGCCCTCAGGGCCTAATGAAGACAAAAGATGGGTCACTAGGTTTCCAGATCACCAAAGACCATTTACTATTTCTTAGAGATGTTTTGTTATGGATCTGTTGCTGGATTAAAAAGTCAGAAGTGGCCATGGGGGTCAGTCTCTAGGCTCTCAAGACTCAGTTCCTTCAAAAGTACAGGCTCTCTTTAAAATGGCTCTCGGGTTACCTTTTCTGAAAACAAATGTGGCTGACAGTTGCTCAGCCCAGGAATAAGGATTAAGAAGTTTCTAAATTCCATTCGGTACTGGAAGGATGAACAATTTCCTGGGGTTAGGGTGGGGGGTGGGGATGCCCCAATCCCTGTGGTGGATGGAGGGAGCCCTTTTGGACGCTGCTCAGCTGGGCCTCAGACAACGGGCCGACAGGGTTAACCGCAGCCTGGCCTCCAAGGCGGCAGCACCCACGCAGCCCAAATGCCAGGCAAACAAACAGCCAGTGTCCTCCCCTGTTTCCTCTTTGATGGGCCGCAAAGGGCCCTTCCTGGCCAGGGGGCCGGAGACCCCCTTGAGCCCCTGTGCAGACCCAATCACCTGGGGCGCTCTGGGCACACAGCAATGCTAAACAAAGGCCCTAGCTCTCCGAGTCACTCCCCTTCTCTGCCTTGCCTTCCTCAGAGATTGGAAGCTCAAACGAAAGGAGATTCCTCGGGATGACTGCATTCTTCTCATATTGGGGCCATCCCTCCAGCCTGCCTCAAGAAGTCTGGCTTCCCAGAAGCCCTCATTTAGAGATGGACGGGCCTTGCAGGTCCTCCCATCCAACCCCTTCCTTTTCCAAAGGGCTGAAGGCTGAGGCTTTGTCTTAGGGTACCCAACTACCAAGTGGCCCGGCAGGAATTTGAACCAGGGCCTCTAGCCTCTAGTCTAATGCGCTTTCAATAAATGGGACTTTCATAAATTTACCATGAAGCAACTGCCTCAGTCACTTCCTTCTTCTGTGGCTTTTAAAATGTGGGGTTCACTAGCAGGAAATGATATCTAACTGTCAGTAGAAAACGAACTTAATACAAATAACTCATACTTTTGCAGCCCTTTTCTCATGGACATGCTACCAGCCCCTTTTACAATGAGGAAACTGCTAAGTGGCTACCAGGCCGTTTCTCAAAGGCTGAAGCAGGACCTGCATTTCTTTACTTGGTTAATACAGAAACATGGGTGCCTCGTATAGAGTTAAGTCAAGTGGCCTGTAATCCACCTCTGAAGGAAAAGCAAAAAAATAACATTCAAGTGCAAGTACTGGCTGGGGAAGAAAAGACCCCAGGGAGAGGAGGAGCAGAGGGGGCAGGGAAGGGGTAACATTGGAGGCCTCTGCCTCAGTATCCCCTACATGACGACTTGGTACAACTGGACAGCGGCAGGTAGGAGCAGCCCAGAATCCTACCCCAGCAGGTTCCTCCCAGCCTTTGGAGGCGGCGGTGCCAGGGGGAAGGACGGTGGTCTTGGGGTCAACAGGCCTTGATTTGGATGCTCACCTATGGTATAACACTGGGTAATCACTACATTCCCGCCTCCTCAACTGCAAAAATGGGCGGGGGGCTTTCAGCAGCACCTCCTTATAGAGGTTTTGGGCTCTAAAAACACCATATCACGAGAAATCAGCCATTATTTTCACGAGACTTCTATTTCCTGGCCGATAGCCTCCTCCCCAAGGAGGCGGGGCAGGTGGGGGTAGGGGGATCAGGACCTCAGCTAGGGCCAGGATGGCTGGGTCTGTTCTCCTGGAAGATCTGAGCTGAGGCAAACAGAGGAGGCTGAGAGGTTACCTAAGTTCTAGACCTGCTTGCGCCCTATGGGGAATGAAGTCCCAAGAAGAGAGAGAGAGAGAGAGAGAGAGAGAGAGAGAGAGAGAGTGTGTGTGTGTGTGTGTGTGTGTGTGTGTGTGTGTGTGTGTGTGAAGGGAGCGGAATGCTTGGAGGAAGGAAGGAAGGAATCCTGAGCTGTGAGAAGTCTAAGCCCACACAGGTGAGTGTGGGGCCTGCAGCTGGGGCAGGGGCAGCCAGCATGGAGGTGATCACCCTCCCTATACTGAAGCACGTGCACTTTGACCAGCGTTCCTGACCTTGGCCCGAATTCTGCACAACAATGAATGTCTGCTCAGCTGACCACAGCACAGTAGGAGAGGAGGAGGGGATGCTGTGAGCACCCAAAGGAAAACAGGAAGATCCCGAGGAGGAGGGAGCCAGAGCAGCTGACAAGGGGCAAACCTTTTAAATGCAAGCCACAGTGAGGCCATTTAGCACAGGGGCACAGAACACCAGGCCAGCCCCGCCACACAGGCCTGTACAACACATACTGATTTACCTGAGCGTCCAGCCCAGCTGCCTAGAATTAAAAGTGGGGCTGGAAGGGGAACATAAGGCTGTGTGTGCTTGATAAATGCTGAACTCAACAGGAAGCGTTCCGTGACCTGCGCTGTGGAAGGCTGGTCTCTGGCTCTGGATTTAATGGCAACAGAGTCCCCAGGCAGACACAGGTGGTGAGGGGAGGCAGCGGGGAGACATCTTCTCCTCGACGCACCCAGGACGGCCGCCTCAGTGAAAAGCACACTTGGGCCATGACCACTCGTCAAGCGGCCATGGTGGGCAAGGCCCTGGCTCATCACAGGGAGAAGATCTCAGTGAGACTGCTCCTTCGCAGTCAGGTGCACAGTCTGAACTGGTGGGGCGGCCCTGCTGGCCCAGCCTCTGAGAACCCAGGGTTCCCTCCATGCCATGGGGAAGTGTGGGTGCACACAGAGGAGGGCATTAGTATAAAACAGGGAGGCAGCGTGGTACCACGGAAAGTGCGCCAGGCTCCTCAGTTTCCTTCTCTGAAAAACGTGCTGTCAGAATGGCGGCCTGCTCTGTCCTCCAGCACCAAGCCCACTGCCCTTGACCCTCCATTTTCATGCAAAGGTCGAGGGGCATTCATAGCCTGAAACCAAAATGCTAACTGATTCATTTCCTCTTCCCGTGGCAGGGTCTCAGAATGATACTCGGGCTCCACCTCCTCCTCCTCTCTCTAGTCACATCACTTGCATCTGGGAATAACAGGGAGCCAGCAGGTCTCCTGGAGAATGGGGCAAAATCCCCCTCGGCCGCAGGGAGGTGGGGGCAGCTGGACCCCACAAACCTGAGCATGCCGCTCCTCCCCGCCGACTTCCACAAGGAAAACACAGTAACAAACGACCTGCTGGTGGAGGAGGAGGAGGAGGACGACTACCTGGATCTGGAGAAGATCTTCGGCGATGAGGACGACTACATCGACATCATTGATGCTGTCTCCCCCACGGACCCAGAGGCCCCACCCGGAAACATCCTGGAGCTGTTCCAAGGGAAGAGTCGAATCCAGCGCCTCAACCTCCTCAACGCCAAGTTCGCCTTCAGCCTGTACAGGACCATGAAGGAGGCCGCCGACCCCGCTGGCAACATCCTCCTGGCGCCCGTGGGCATCTCCACGGCCATGGGCATGATCTCCCTGGGGCTGAGGGGGGGCACACACGAGCAGGTCCATGCCGCCTTGTACTTCAAGGACTTTGTGAATGCCAGCAGCAAATATGAGACTCAGACCGTGCACAACCTCTTCCGCAAGCTGACCCATCGCCTCTTCAGGAGGAACTTTGGCTACACTCTGCGGTCAGTGAACGACCTTTACGTTCAGAGGCAAATCCCCGTCCGGGAGGACTTCAAAAACAAGATGAGGGAGTACTACTTTGCCGAGGCCCAGCCTGCTGATTTCTCAGAGCCTGCCTTCATCGCCAAAGCCAACGACCACATTCTGAAGGTCACCAAGGGCCTAATAAAGGACGCCCTGGTGAATACAGATCCCGTGACACAGATGATGATTCTGAACTGTATTTACTTTAAAGGTAACACGGGGCCTCCTCTCACGCTTTCAGCATGCAGGGGTAGGACTGGGCAGGGATTGGGCTGGGATGGAGTGATCTCCATCCACTCCAGTAACAACAACCGAGAGGCAGTACAGTGCAGCGGCTACAGGGTCAGCCTCAGACTGGGGAAGACCTGGGCCTCTGGCCTCTCCTGGGTAAGATGCTTCTCCTTTCACTGACTCCCAAACGATTCTCTTCTCTCTCTCTTTCTTTTTTTTGGCTAGGCGATGGGGTTAAGTGACTTGCCCAGGGTCACACAACTACTAAGTGTCAAGTGTTTGGTCTGAGGTTGGATTTGAACTCAGGTCCTCCTGAATCTGGGGCCGGTGCTCTATCCACTGTGCTACCTAGCTGCCCCTTCCCAAACGATTCTCAAAGACCACTAGTCAGTCACGAGGAAGGTACTAAACCCCCCCGGAATTGGGGGGGGGTGTCCTCCCTGGGAATTCCCTGTACCAGTGAAACCAGAGGTCACTAAAAACCAAAAACTCACCCCACATGCCCAACGCTTTATGCAATAATCTTGAGAAGGGAGTGCACCCACAGGAGCCCCATACTAAGATACTTGAGAGCTAGAGGCTCTGAGAGGCTAATTTTTAATGTAATTCATTTTTCAATTAATGAGCCTTTCTCTTCTCATTCTTCAACCTGCCCCTACCCCACAAAAAAGCCCTTGTTAACAACAGTCAGGAAAAACAGTTCTCTCCATTGCTGTCTCCAAAACCTCCTGCCTCACCTCGAGTACACCCATTGCCTTTCTTTCTTTTTTTTTTTTTTTTTGGCTAGGCAATGGGGTTAAGTGACTTGCCCAGGGACACACAGCTAGTAAGTGTTATGTGTCTGAGGCCAGATTTGAACTCAAGTCCTCCTGACCCCACTGCACCACCCAGCTGCCCCTCACCCACTGCCTCTCTGTGGGAGGTGGGTGACCCTCCGGATCATAAGTCCTCTGGAATCACAGTTGACACTGCATCAATCAGAGCTCCTTTTATCCTTCCAAGCCACCTGTCTTCACAACGTTTTTGTCACTGCACGAACTGTTTTGCTGGCTCTACTCACTTTGCTCTGCATCAGTTCATCGAAGTCTTTCAGGGTTTTTCTGAAACTCCCCTTTCCATCTCTTTTTGCAGCACAACAGCATGCACAGTTTGTCTGGCCTTTCCAATTGCTGGGTACCTCTTGTTTTCCAAAGAGCAGTATCTGTGTACCCTTACCTATCTTTTCTTTGCTGTCTCTGGGAGCAGGCCTGGCAGGGGTTGCTCTAGGTCAAAGGGTACGCACAATTTAGTAACTCTGCTCTCCAGAATGGCTGGACCAGTTCACATTCACGTGCCTTTTTCCCCACAGGCCCTCAAGAGGCTGTCATTTTCCTTCTCTGTGAATACAGGCAATCTCAGAGGAGTGCGCTGGTGCCGCAGTGGTTTAAAACTGCATTTCTCTAATTATGAGTGATTTGGGGACTTCTTCTGTATGGCTATTGATAGCCAGGCTTTCTTCCTTTGAACACTGCCTGTTGAGGTCCTTTGGTTATTGGTGAGTTGGGGAATGGCTCCCACTCAGACAGATTAAGTGATCTGCTCCTGTTCACGGCTCGTCCAGTGTCTTAGCAAATGTGAAGTCAGGTGTCCTGGCTGCAAAGCCAGTGTTTCTGAAGGCAAAACACAATTATCTCCCAGGGCATGGACACTGAGTAGTGAAAGGGGGCTAAGCCTCAAGAGATCCAACTAGTGTTTTGTGCCCATGGGATGATGGGTCACTTTGTGAGGCAGGGAGCTTTCTATAACAAGAGCTATAGTCCTCTCAAGTGCTCTGTGAGGCTGTAGTGCCAGGAAGACAAGCCCCTCCACAAAGAAGGGGCCTTCCTGGATCCCTGGGAGTCCCAGAGACAGCAGGCAGGGGCCGGAGCTGGCCCTCAGGCCCAGGACCGCTTCCTGGTGTTCAGACAGCAGGACGGCCACAAGGCAGAGGCACTGCCGGGCACGGCCTGAGGAAGGCTGCCCTTTCAAGGAGCAGCAATGGAGAGGGAGCGCATAGGCACTGGGGTCAGCGAGCTGGGCACTTTGGTGCTTGATGGGTAACTGGAGGGGGAGGTTCAGCTGACTGGCGGCTCTTCCCTGGGGTCTGAAAGCAGGAATCCTCTCCTTGGGTGATCAGTGTGGCGTGTGTGGCCAGTCCCCAGGGCAGATGCTGGGTCAGGGTCCAAGCCCGTGCTGCTCCAAAATCTGCCCACAGAACCAGAGAAGGAAACGCAGCTGAGGGCTAAGGTCAGGCCCAGCTGTAAGCTGCCTATCTGATTAGATAGCAGGCGAACTTCCTTTTGCCTTCTGTCCCTGGAAAGGGGCCTAGCGGACAGCTGGGAACGAGCGTGCCCAGAGCAGCACAGCGGTCTGGGCGAGGGCAGAGCACGGGCACAGGCCACGTAAAGCAGGAGAGCTGGCGTCTGTGCAAACAAAGCTGACGAGGACACGTTTCAGAGAGAGGCAGGTGGTGAGGGAGACATAGGCTAGCATCGGCCCTGCTCCAAAGTGCAGTCCTGTTTCTTTCCTGGACCTTGCTGGCTGGCCACAAGGAAAGACTAAGCCTTCAGTGACAGCATTCCCCAGAACGCCAGCCCGTCCAATCATCGTCATTAAAAGGGAGGAAGCCTGAGGCTCTGAGAGGGGGAGGGACTCCCTAGGGTCACACACCGGCCCTCCCACCAGGCTAGGGCTCTTCCAGTTGCCCCCCCCCCCACCGGCTCCCTTCGCATTTCCGAACAATCGCCTGAGATTGCTCTGATGGCCCCTCTCCCTTGAATTTACAGGTACCTGGGTGAACAAATTCTCAGTGGAAATGACACATAACGCCAATTTCCGCCTGAATGAGAGAGAGGTGGTCAAGGTCCCCATGATGCAAACCAAAGGTAACTTCCCTGTGGCCAATGACCAGGAGCTGGACTGCGATGTGCTGCAGCTGCAGTACGTGGGGGATATCAGCATGCTGATCGTGGTGCCGCACAAGTTGGTGGGCATGAGGGCGCTCGAGGCCCAGCTCAGCCCGCGGGCAGTGGAGAGATGGCAGAAGAGCATGACCAACAGGTAGGGGCACTGTTCGCAGCGTGCGAGGAGGGCTCACCCAGAAGAACTAGGGGGACCCCCCTGAGGCCAATCTGAGCGCTCCCCCCCGAGCCTGGCACTGGGCTGCACACGTCGACTTCCTTCAGGGCCCTGGGGAGGCAGGGGAGCGCTGGCCGTGCGGGGGGCCATGGCTCCAGGACCGGAGCAACTGCGCTAAAAGGGGGCTTCCCGAGGGAATGGGGACAGAGGCCGTCTGCCACGGCAGCAGTCAACACTGGCGTCTGAAGTAGCATAAGAGGATAAAAAGGAAGTTGCAGACAGCAGCGAGGTGGTGCCAGTCTCAGAGTGGGAAGGCCTGCCTCTGGCTCCCACAAGCTCTGGGGGGCCGGATAGGCCCTTCCTTGTGGTCCATCTGCATTGGAGATGGGGCACTTTCCTCACTAGGGGCTTCCAACATCTACAAAATGTGATATTTAGACCAAAACGATATTGGAATTGATGGACAGGATGAGCAGATGTCTCACTGCCCGGTCAGTGCTAGAAGCCATACATTAAGAAGGTCGCTGTAGGAAGGCCCCTCCCTCAAGGGCCAGCTAAGGAACCAGCAGCACTAACCCTGGGGCAGAGAATACTTGATATTGGGGGGGGGGTGAGAATCAATTCAACGAACAGTAATTAAGTAATTACTGCATGCAGAGCACTGAGTGAGGTGCTGGGTAAACAAAGATGAAGGTCTCTGCTCTCCAAAGAGTGTACAAAGGGAGGGGTAGCAAACCTCCCCGCCCGCCCCCCCCTGCCCCACACAGTGTAGAAGGGCGGCCAGAGAGGCCGGGAGTCAGAAAGACCTGGGTTCCAGACATGCCTCGGTCTCATCTAATGGCCACACTAGACGACTCCCCTCCCCTCTAAGTAACTCTCTGAACCTGGAGACTCCAGAGGCATAACTGATGCCAAGGGCATTTCCACACTGGGAGCTCTCCGGGGGTCTGCCCTGCACCCCAAGTGCCCCTGCCCCAAACATGGACCAAAATACCCATAACACTTAATTTTTTTTTTTGGAGCGAGGCCACTGGGGTTAAGTGACTTGCTAGTGAGTGTCAAGTCTCTGGTCTGAGAGGGCGTGTTGCCTCCAGGGCCAGTGCTCTATGCACTGCACCACCCAGCGCTCCCCATGACACTGGATCTTTAACACAGCAACAGTCGGCTTGCTGGCTGATCCAGTGTGGGAACTACAAGAAGTACAGCGGCTGGCTCTAAGAGAGCTCTCGCCAGCTAGCACGTCTCGGGCTTCCGTCCTGAGCGGAAGCAGCTGCGACACAGCTATAAACCCAGTCACCATGAGAGGATGGAGCTGTAAGGGGAGGGAGGAGGACAGGCCTCGAAGGCCCCGCTGGGACACAGACAGACAGCCAGCGTGCTGGGCAGCCTCCCAGCCTCGGGGATGAGAGGGCGCTGACAGAGAAGGACGGGATGACGCAGAGATGAAACGTATTCCAAAGGAGGAAGCAGCAGGCTTGTCCTCACAGGGACCTCAGAGAAGGGAACATCACTGGAGGCATTTCTAATATTCCCCACTCGATTCAAAAAATCCCAGTATTTTGGAGCTGGAAGAAAACTCCAACCCCCATCTGTAAGATGTGAAAACTGAGCCCCAGAGAGGTGTGACCTCCCAAGGGCTCCCCCCCCACCCCGGCAGTGGGTAAGTGGTAAAACCGAGATGAAACTCCAGGCTAGGCCTCCTCACTCCTGGTTCTGCCTACACTAGACCGTACTGATCTATACAAACGTGTCCCATACAAGCTGTCGCCATGATTCGGTCCCTGTCACCTAGGGAGCTGTAAGCCTCCGTCAGAATCTTTTCTCAAGGCTCTGCTGGCGAGGTCTCTCTCCTCCCCTCTGTGGTCTCCTCAGTCTTCACTCGTGGGCTTTCGCCACAGTGGAAGCGGAAGCCTTAGCTATTTCCCACTGGTGACCCCCTTTCTTTCCCCCAGATCAGGCTGGCAGCAAGTGCTTCCTGGGTCTTTCTCTCTCCAAAGGAATTTGCCCCCAAACACCATTCTCCTCAGGTGCTTGCTATCACAAAGCTTTCAATCGCCCCCTGCAGCCTACCAGATAAAGGCCAAACTCCTCCTGACCTCGGGCTCCAGCCTTATCTGCTCTTACCCTGCCATTCTCCAAACACACCCTGCTCCTCTCCATGTCTGGGTCTGGCCCCTGGTGTGTTCCCCCCGCCCCTCCCCCCCAAAACAGCCTCCCCTTCAGCCTTGAAGAGAGCTCTCTCCCAGCCGTCCGGCTCGAGGCCTGTCTCTCTCCCTTCTGATGTTCCACAGCCACCAGGCTGTTTCACCAAGTTGGAAGGAATGACAGCGGGCTAGGGACCCCTCTCAAGACTCTTCTGATCTCAACTCCACTAACCAGGCAACCAGGATTTCCTTCACTGCAACAGCTGCTGCTGCTGCTAGGAGAAAGCCCTTCCTATAATAGTTCCCTTAACCCTCCCAACGGTGCTGGGAGGCGGGCACTGTTCTCATCCCCTTTGTCTAGAGAACGCTGACATGGGGAGAACATGAACTGTCTGAGGCAGGACTGGAACTCAAGCCTTCTAGCCTTCCAGCTGTGGGGGCTATCCAGGACGGAGGTTTAGAATTACTGTATCATCGTTCCGGCATGTGAAGGGGGTGGGAGTGCAGGCTGGCACCTTCTTCCGCAGCTCCTTGGAACAGCAGGCTGGCCCCACGTGGGTCAGCCAGGGCTCTAGCCCCTAAACCACACCATTCCTGAGTCACATATCTACTTTTACTAAAAGTCTGCAAGACTAAAAAAAAACCAAAACAACTTCCTAGAGGCAGGAAACCCGAGTTCAAAGTAGGCCTCAAACCAGCTGCATGACCCTGGACAAGTCAGTTTTCTCATCTGTAAAATGGGGCTAATCACAGCCCCTCCCTCCCAGGGTCGCTATGCGGATCAAATGAGCTAAGTTTGTAAACCGTAAAGCCCCACAGAAGTGCGAGCTATCAGCAGTGAATAGACTAAGGGGTGACTGAGGAAGTCCCTGCTGGGCCAGCCAGTGTCCCCCACGACAAAAGCAGGCAGCCCCTCTGAGCATCCCCAACCAAAGTCACCAGTGCTTACAAAGTGCTTTCAGAGCCCAGGGCCGGGGGAGGATGCTGCCTCAGGCCTCTGGGCCTAGAAAAGGCTTCCCTGCCAGGGAGCTGACATCATAGATGTGTACACACACACACACACACCCCCCCACACACGTATGCACACAGTGCGCGCACACACACACACACACACACACGCACGCACGCACATAGAACATCTATTAACTGACTTGGGGGCAGCCATGGAGGAATGGAGAGAGAGCTGGCACCGAGCCAGGAAGACAGGCGAGCAGATGCGCCACATTCTGGCTGGGCGGCCCCGAGTGAGACACTGCTTCTCACTGCTCTAAAAGTAACAGTCTGTTTCGGGGCAGTGGGGTAAACAGGGTGGTTCAGTGCACAGAGCGCCGGGCCTTGAGTTAGGAAGACCTCAGCTCAAATCCAGTCTCAGACACTCAGCAGCTGGGTGATCCTGGGCAAGTCACTTCCCTCTGTTTGCCTCAGTTTCCCCTTCTGTAAAATGGGCAGGAGAAGGAAATAAACTGCTCCAGTATCTCTGCCAAGTAAACCCCAAATGGGGTCACAGCACTGTACGTGACTGAAAAATGACTAAACAACACACAACCTGCTTTGGGAGGCATTCCCTCTACCAATCAGACCACATTCTGGCCCCTAGTCCCTCTATATTAAACTATGAAACATCACAGGATCACATGGGTTCATACATGAACAGACGCTGGGCATCATTTAGTCCAGAGAAGTCACATCCGCACAGATCATAAGAACAGAATGGGATCTGAACCCACGCCTCCTGTCCCCATCCCCACCACACCGTGTTGCCTTGGTCATGGGGTGTGGCGCTCACTTTCCGGGGAGGGCAGGGGTGCAGATTTCCTGCAGGCACTTTTCTCGCCCGGGGTTTTGGGGTCTTGCACGTGGCAGTCCCGGGAGCCGGAACGTCTGAGACCCCACTCCTGTATGGGCTGCTGCGATGACACTGGACTTCCTTTCCCTCTCTGAACAGAACCCGTGAGGTTCGCCTGCCAAGGTTCAAGCTGGAGAAGAACTACAACCTCGTGGACGCCCTGAAGTCGATGGGCATCACAGAGCTGTTTGATCACAACGGGGATTTCTCTGGCATATCCGACCAGAAACTCGTCATTGACTTGGTAATCGCATGCTCTCTCCTCGCCCGTAGCGCCCAGCAGAGGTGATCTGAGGGGTCTGCCTGCTGCTCCCGTCCCTTCTTCAGCCCCCCAATGCGACTCAGCTCTGCTGAGCCCGCCAGCAGGCAGCACAGTGCAGCAGAGACAAGGCCGGGGGGTGGGGTGGGGGGAGAAGCGGCCTGCCCAAGAAGCCTGAGAGCGGAGGGTGGAGATGGTCCGTGAGCCCTTGGAGATCCCCCCCCCAAACTAAGGACTCCACTACCCCGATTAGGCAGGGCATTAAGAGACCCTCTCTCCTCTCTGAACAGTTCAAGCACCAAGGCACCATCACGGTGAACGAGGAGGGCACCCAGGCTGCTGCCGTGACCACTGTGGGCTTCATGCCCCTCTCCACGCAGGTTCGATTCATCGTCGATCGCCCCTTTCTGTTCCTCATCTATGAGCACCGCACCAGCTGTCTGCTGTTCCTGGGTCGGGTTTCCAACCCCAGCAAGTCTTAGAGACGCAGGCTGGGCCCCCGCCGGATCCTGTGATCGCTACCTTTTCCTTACAACAGCGCCCAAGGGCAATCTGTGAGCAATGCCACTCTCACAACACACCCTGCCCCCAAAGGCAGGGGCCAGGGCTCGTGAAAGCAACCATAGCTCGTGAAGCTGCGAGCGCCTGCGCGTGCAGTCAATGAATACATTAAAAGTGTCCTTAAGGAGCTGACCATCTGATGTCCTGTTTCTTTAGTGCTCTGGCCTCACGCAGGCCAACTCCTAGGCTTCTCCCCTGCTCTGCGCCACCCTCAGCCCTTGAGTTCCTTCCCTTTTGTGGCTCCAGCCGTGCTGAGATGGCCGACAGCCTGTCCCCCGTGACACTGGCATCCGTTACAAGGCCCCGCTACAAAGTGCTGTGTATGGGTTGGGCCTGTCACTCCCTGGGATGCAGAGGATAAGAGGTTCCCACTCTAGGCGCCAATAAACATAAACCACTTTTAACCTGTTTCTCTCGTCCTTCTCTCCACTGATAGAACCCCATTAAATGCTAATGCACACCAATAGTAAGTCAGCCAGACCCCTCTGATCTAAGAGTCCAGGATCAGGATCCCGGTGGGTCACATTTCTGCAGCCCTGTGGGATTCACCAGCAGCCCTGGAAGGACAGCAACGTGGGTCCTGCACAGCACCACAGACTGAGAAGTGGCCAGAAGTCATCGTGGCATGTGACGGGTGGTGGGATGTCTTGGGCCATCTTGCCAGGGAGGGACAAGAAGAGTCTTGATGGTAAGCTTAATTTTTTAGGTATGTTCTAAGCAGGGGTGTTACACCCAAAAAGAAATGGAGACCATGGAACTGTCCACAAGGAGACGTGGGGCTGCATCCTGCCTCAGAGAACCCCACGGTGATGTTACCTCTGTTCTCCTTGGGTCTTTACTGATTCTGTGGAACACTTCTGCACTGCACTTTAATCTGGTGGGGACCACCATCCTCAGGTCTACACCATGCCTGAGAAGCTCAGACCCTGCCGGCATCCTGGTGGAGCTCTCTGTGGATTGCTTGGGATGGAGCCGAGCATGGAATCCCAGGCTGCTCCCGGGCAAACAGGGAGCGTGCCTGCTGGGCGTCGGCCGGAGCACCCGCTGGGTCCAGAGATGATGCTGCCGGTTCAGATGTACAGAGGGACAGCAGCGGGTTTCTGCACCATCAGGGTGAGGGCCTCCGTGTCTCAACCACATGGCAGATGTTCAGTTCAATGGCATGGTGGGCCTGAGGTGAGGCACTCATTGGCCAGCTGAGGCTCAGAGGTGGTGATTAGGAAGCAGGGGGCCAAGCCCTGTCCATGGAAACTCTGTTCTCCCTTTCCAGCTCTAGAGTGGAGAACCACGACTTGGAGAACCATGGCCAGGGAGTGTTTTCTCGCCTCTTCATGGCCCTAAGGAGGGAGGCTCAGTTCCCAAGAGAGATCATGAGGAGCATGAGGCCTCAGTGGTTCCAAGACCAAGTGCCTGGGCTGTCTGGTTACAGCCCCTCAGCCCCCTGCCCTTCACCTCTAGCCCACAGCTCGGTTACCTTTGCTGAAATCCCAGGCCTCTCCTGCAGTCTCTACTGATAAGATTTTATCTTTGTTGGCCTTGGCAAACCCACCAACTAAGTGATTTTGATATGGTCAGGATTTCTGGGGATGACTTTTGCAAAATTCTACCAAGAAGAGTGCCCTGATTACTATTTTAATCCCACAGCAGCAGAATGGGGGGGGGGGTGTAGAAAAAACACTGGTCTTGCCGTCAGAGTGTCAGAATTCTCTTTCCAGGTCTGCCATTTATACCTGTCAAGTCACTTGACCACTCCAAAGCTCAGTTTCCTCATTTGTCAAATGGAGTTAATGATACCTGTGATGCGCACCTTACAGGGCAATTATGAAAAAGCACTACGTAAAGCATAAAGCCCCAGAGAGACGTCACCTTGTCTATCAGTGAGTTTTTAGAGAAGGGGCCCACATGGGGCCCACAACTGGGCCCAGCCCTACATGGACCCACAAGAGATCTGTGGGCAGCACACACCAGCTCACAACAGAACAACAGAAGGTGGGCCCGTGGAGCAGGAAGGACTGTCACAAAGCCCTCGGTGGACTGGAGGAGGGCTAGGCCCCTACCTTTGGAAGACACCTGCCTGGCTTCCTGGCCTGACCCCCGGCCTCATCACCCACTGCTCACCATGGCTGACTCTCGAGGCTCTGTCCCTGGCCCCCTCTTAATTATAACACACAATTTTTCCAAGATCGAAATCTCAACTGCCACACCACATGGCAAACCGCTTCCTTCCTACTTTTCCACTACCATCATTGATGCTACCATTTTTCCAGCCCTCCAAGGCCACAATTTTAGTCATTTTTAAGGTTTTCATTTCATTCCTCCCCTAAGACCAGTCTGTTGCAAAGTCCCTTCATTACTTTAGCTCGTCTTGGGGTTCCCCATTACCGCTGCCCCTAGGTCTTATTAATGCATCCCCAAACTACTGTAAAATACCATCCAAACTGGTTTCCTGCCTCCAGACTCTCTTCCAATGCATCTTGTAAATCACTTTGCATCTAATTTTCCCTGAGTCATGTTTTCATGATGTGACTGGGCTGCTCCAATTAGCCTCTGAGTAAAGAGTGTACCAGCCCAGCACACTCAGTGAGAGGTCCATGAGAGATAAGGCCTTTCCTAAAAGATCTGGGCAACTAGATAATAAACGCCATCACTGACACATAGGGGAAAGATGCTGTACTACTGACTGAGTTGAAATATATTTGAGGGTCCCAGCATGTTAGATCTGCAGACCCCCGGTGATCACTTGGCCAAGCACCTCTGTGATAAGACCGTGAGGTGGGTAGGGCAGACGTTATCATCCCAATTTACAGATGAAGAAGTCAAGGTTCTGAGAGGTTGAATGATGTGCCCCCAGTCTTCCATCTGGTCAGTGTGTGACATGAGACTGGAGCCAGTGCTCTGGCCACTAAGCTCTGAAGGGAAGGGAACGTAGGAAGGGAGTGCAATCTGTCAGATGGAGGCAGTAGCAGAGTTTCTAGCGAAGGCCTGGTCCATCCAAGTATTTAGGCCCCTTCTTCATGAAGGGGTCACATCCACAGGGTGCCCTGCAGACAGGACCTTATGAACTGTGTGCCCCAGCAAGTCCAAGAGGACAGCAGAAAGTAAACCTGAGGCCTTGGGATGTGGCCTTTGTTGAGCAAGAAAATCAAATATTTGCTTCCTCCCCCATAATGTAACCATTAACTTTTACGAAAAACCCTCAATATTATTCCTTTACTCATGTTAAGGGTCACACTAATTGGAAAACAAACACGTCTCATGAGCTTTGATCAGACATTCTATCTACCTTCATTGTAATATATTAGAAAAAAGTCCAATGCTCACTAGATCAATTTGTCTATTTCTTCAATTCCAAAATAAAATCATTACATCATTACATGGTTGCCCATCAGATCACAGAACATTAGAGTGGGAAAACTCTTGGAGCTCTTCCAGACCAATTTCCCACCGATCCAAGCTCCCCTCCATGGGATTCCTGGGCATCACCTGACTTGTCCTTCAATGTGCCCGATGCCAGGAGCCCACTGCCTCATGGGCGGCCTGTCCCGGACAACACTGTACGCTCTTTTAATGATTCCCACCACTGGGCCTACGCCATCCCCTAGAGCCATCCCAAGACAACCAAACAGCCCTAAAGGCACCAGGAGGCAGCTGATGTGGCCTCCCATCAGGCTAAGGAAAAAGTCCATTGAAGACCTTCCCTGGCCCTGGCTGACGCTTAACTCTGAAGTGGCCAGAGTAACACCTGACTTAAGTGGGTTAAAGCAGAGGCCACGTAGCGTACCAGGGACGAGCAGGAAGCCACACAGAGACACAAACACGGCAGATAAACTCGGCATCTATGCCACAGAAACAGGACATTATGAGTGGCACCAGGTGGCCAGTAGCACCTCCAGGAGTCCATTTAGCCTCATTTACCCAAACTTCTCTGCTCCTCCTCCAGAGCACACCTCAGGGCTCTGTTCTGGGCCTTCCTTAATGGCCATCTCTGTGCCAACGACTCTCAAATCTACCCAGCCAGCCCCAACCTCTTGGCTGACCCCCCAGCTCACATCTCCAAATGGATGTCCAGGAGACACTTTACCCTCAACATGTCCAAAACTGAGCTCATCCCCTTTCCCCCTGCTGCCACCTTCCCTATTACTACAGAGAACACCACCCTCCTCCCAGTCCCTCAGGCTCCTAACCCAGGAGTCATCCTGGACTCCTTTCTCTCTCATCCCTCCATATCCCATATGGTGCCAAGGCCTGTCAATATCATCTCCACAACATCTCTCCTCTAGTATGGGCCCCACCCAGCTGCAGACACTCATCTCCCAGCTGGAGTATTCCAATAGCTGCTGGGGGGGGGGGGTCCTGCCTGGCCCCAGTCTCCCCACTCCAGTCCACCGTTCAGCCACCAAAGTGATTTTTCCAAAGCGCATGTTCAATCATGTTACCTCCTACTCAATCACCTGCAGAGGATCCTCCCGCCGCCGCCTTCACATACAAGCTGCTCCACTTGGCGTCTAAAGCCCTTCCTGACCTGCCCCCTGCTCCCTTTCCTGTCTTCTTACACCTTACTCCCCAACACACACTCTTCAATTCAGTGACCCCAGCCTCCTGGCTGCTCCACCAAGACCCTCCATCTCTTGGCTCTAAGCATCGTCTCTGGCTCTGCGCCCATGACGGGAACGCTCTCCCCAACTCATCTCCCCCCCGGCTTCCTTCAAGTCTCAGCTAAAATCCGGCCTTCTGTAGGAAGCCTTCCCCCATGCCCCTCCGTGCCAGGGTCCGAGTCTTAGGGCCTATCATAATAGTACGCACACAAAAGGCACTTATAAAATGATGAACGAATGTGGCACAGAGCCTCACCACCAGCGATAACACTGTTCGATAGGAAAACCCATCCCAACGTTCTGGCTTGGACACCAGGACGCCTCAT